TGGCCAACTCTTACTAATTCTTAATTAATGTATGTTGTTTTCTTATGAATTATTTAATCATCAAATAAGGGTTTTCTTTTGTTATGATCATATATCACTACTAGAAATTCGGCAAAAACCGACCACGTCGGTCGATGACAAATATTTCAATTCAAAATATTTTATTTTTCAATTTCTTTTTACGAAATCGACTAACTTCTATCAATTTTTTTGACACAAAAATGCAGGAAACTATTTTGACGTCCCGTGAAATTTATTTTTTAAGAAACCGACCAACTTTGGTCGGTTTTTCATGTAAAATAAATTAAAATTAATATTCAAAAAAACGGACCGAAATTGGTCGCTTATTTCAGTAAGTCATTTTAAAAAACCAACTGATTTCAGTCGGTAATTTTATATTTTTAATAAAACCGACCGAAATCGGTCGGTTATTCTCGCGCAAAAATACAATTAAAAAGTACAAACAAAATTAAAAAAAAATCTTAAACCAAAATGTACCAATGGTCTAGTGGTAGAATAGTATCCTGCCATATTATCGACTCCGGTTCGATTCCTGAGTCGGTGCATTTTTAATTACATAATTAAAAAACTGACTTCGGCCGCTTTTTTGGCAATTTTTTTCTTTAAGGTTGTTTGTGAAATTTAATTGACTGACTGAAATCGATCAAAAATTCCGGCAAACTTCGGTCTCTATTTATTACCAACCAGCCTTGTTTCGACAAATTAAAGTCGGTCGAAAATTAGTCGGTTTTTCCAGTTTTCAGAATTCGGTCGATATTCCTGGACGGTTTTTCGCAGTTTACTACTAGTGTATAATATATCAAACAAAAAAGAACTATTTTAAAGATATTTTAGCAAAGTTACTCAAATATTAGATTGGGCTAAAAATCAGCCAAATTTAGATGGACCGAATTCAATAAATTGGCATGTCAATGAAGTGAAAATAGCACGGGCTGGCCAGTTTCGGACTGGTAATTGAATAATAGTCAGCGTTTGTAAAGTCATTGAAAAATAGCCACTATTTTGTTGCAACACGAAAAGTTTCGGCATAATATACTGGAGATTGGTGCACACGTGTATGAATTTCCAGCATATTATGCTGGATCTCCAGCACACGGAAAGTTCCAGCATAATATACTGGAGATTGGTGCACACGTGTATGAATTTCCAGCATATTATGCTGGATCTCCAGCACACGGAAAGTTCCAGCATAATATACTGGAGATTGGAGCACATGTGTATGAACTTCCAATATATTATTGTGGAACTCCAGTATATTATGGTGGAAGCTCACATGTAAAAACTTCGAACTCCAGTATATTATGCTGGAATATTTTCCGGATTTTGAATAGTATTTTCGTTCAGATTTATCTTTAAATGAAAAGTGGCTAAATTTCGATTACTTTTAAAACTATGCTATTTTTTAATTATCACTTGTAAGTGTGAGTATTTTTAAAGTAACTACGTCAATGACCGGTCTAATCTAAGCGAACTGAATGGGTTAAATGGGTTTGAGCTGAGGTTACCACCTTATAGAAGTCGGTGGATAAATTCTAATAGCATGTTTGGCCAAGCTTATTTTTGGTCAAAAGTAATTTTTTTTTTTTTTTGGACAAAAGCACTTTTGGCCAAAAATTGAGGTGTTTGGCCTAACTTCTGGAAGGAAAAAAAGTGTTTTTGAGGAGAAGCAGAAAAAAGTAGCTTTTCTCCAAAAGCACTTTTTTGAGAAGCACTTTTGAGAAAAATACACTTAGAAACAGTTTTTTAAAGCTTGGCCAAATACTAATTGCTGCTCAGAAGTGCTTTTCAAACTAATTAGTCAAACACAAACTGCTTCTCAACCAAAAGTACTTTTGAGAAAAGCACTTTCGAAAAAAAATACTTCTCAAAATAAGCTGATTTTTGCAGCTTGACCAAACGGGCTATAAGACTATCTATTAAGTCCCCGTCACCACATTAGCAACCTGATCATTTTTGTACAAACAATACAAGGGAGAGATATTATCATTTGTTTTCCTTCAAGCCTTATATTTCTTTATGTATTTACTCAAGACTAAGGTGATAGAGAGAGCATGACTTGTGCAAGTAATCTAAACTCTATATTTTTTTACCAAAAGAGCAAAAAACTTGTAAAATTTACTAACAGTTGTCACAGTCTTTGACTCACAGCATTAAATATTGCGGTTAAGTACAACCTGATACAAATTTAGCTCACCTACTACCTAATTTTCAAACTATCCAACTTTAAATTGCTTAAGAGAAACATCAAGCAAACTGCAGAGCTCCTAGGTACCCTTGTAAATGTCTACTCCCAATCAATTAAAGTCCAGGAAATAATCTTAGGTTACAATTCTCGTTTTCTGCAAAAGAAAGAATTTACTACCAAGTATGATGTTGAACTAAACTTATTCCTAAGTCCAAAATCACCATAAGAATCTATTGAAACCATTAAAATATCAATCCGTGATCATGTGCTCGAAAGTCAAACATTGGTCAACTCTTACAATTTAAGCACACTAGAAGCATCAAATTGTAAAATGGGGCTAAAATACTCAAAACGACACATTTGTTTATGCAAATTCAATAAATACATGATAGGTGTCTTTAACACATGATTATCACTTAATTATCATTAATTAACACGTTATTATCGCTAAAGTTTAATCGTCAGACCTACCATGTGTTAAAATATTCATTAGATTGTGCAGGCCTGAGAGGTGCCTGACATTTAGCTTCATGCCTTAGCCAAATTTTCCAGGTCACTTTTGTTAGGGTTATAGTAAATATGCCCTAGATCCAATATTATATTTGATGTTTTGAACATATTTTATAAAATATATATGGCATTTGATATTCTTTTATCATTGTTATTAATTGCTTGATTAATTTGATAAGGTCCTTGATTAAATTTTGAGACTTGACATTGTGATGGAGATCATGATAATGAGAGTAAAGTTTCTTATAATTTAATCTAAATTTGTTCTTGATCGTAGGATTATAAATTTGGACATTAGTAATCCGATTAGATCAATATCTATGTGATCGTCTTTATGGGATAAAGATTAGTTGATCTCATTAACTAAATTACATAGATAGATGATGCATATAGAGATATGATCATTGAACCGACTCATTGGATAATTCCTAATGGTTAGAATTACCATAAACTGTCAATAGGATATTCTCTTGAAGAATGTGATGTAAGAGTTTCCTTTGACCTGAGATCGTCATAGTAATTGACAAGTTATTTATTGTGCTTTGATACCAGACACCTATGGCCCTAGGGCGATAGTTGAAAGGATATTGGGTACGATTAAATACTTGTAGAATTAGTGATTGATCAAGATGGAATCTGTCAACTCTTGGTAATGAGTTTAAGCTCCATGTTGTCATGAATTATAAACGACCAAATTAAGACCTTGGCCAGGGCAATTGAATGAAAGAAGAAATGAGTTTCTTAGGTCATTCAATGGTCGATTATATTTGACGTGAACACATAGTTGGTCGCCTATTAGGATTTGACAGTTGAACCATATCCTAGGGTGATCCAGAGCTATAAGGACAGAAGGAATTACTACATTATTCTTCTACTGGTTCTTGAGAGTAAATTGTATACTTCATATTATCCGGTTGTTAAGGAGTGTGCTAGACGCCACCCTTGATTAGTATATTGATGTGGTCAATTTACTACCGGCTTAGTATTGAACCTATGGGGTCGCACACTAACGAGTGTTCTGATCTTTGCTAAAGGATTAATTAACTTATTATTTGATAATTAAATTAAGGAATTTAATTAGTCAAATACATTTAGTTGTTAGTCCAAATGAAATATTATTATATTATTTGCTAGCACAGAGGATATAATTAATATTGTAAACAAATTGAAGTTTTCTATTTGGAATAGAAAATTAAATTATATCTCTTGGTTGAAATATATATATGATATATTTGATACTCATAATTAAAAAGGCTCATACGTTAAAACCAATTTTGAATTGGATTAACTCATAAAGTCCATAAAAGGACGAGCGGCTGACTTAACCCATTAAGAATGGGATATGATGTTTCTCTATTAAATACTAATAAGGATCGTATAATCCAATTTGAAATTGGACTTTGTGGAATGTCCATAAAAATTGGCAGTCACGAGACCCATGGAATGGGATTCGAACCGGCCACTAAAAATTTCATAAAGTTTATTTTTGGAATAAACTTTTACCTAAGTAAATCATTACCTCAAACAAATAGGAAAAGGATTTGTAGGTGATGCTATATAAAGGGTGATGGAGAAATTTTTCCGCATTATTAATTCTTGAGAAGAAAAACATTTTGTGAAAGTGAGAGTGCAATACAAAGCCAAGAGAGAAAATACAATTACAAGAAAAGTGTTTCTTGTTCTTCTATCTTTGAGTTGAGATTTTTGAGAAAAATTTCAGCACAAGTTTTCCGTTCAATTTGTTCGCGGGTTTCGTTGATCAAAGAGTTGATAGAAAGGATCAGTCTCGGTGTGGATACACATAGAGTTTTCGCACTATCGAAGAATTTGAAACAAGACTTTTTTCACCAGGTACGTCTTAGATCTAATCTATTGATATGTAAATAAATTTTAAACATAAAAAGATCTGCCGCTGCGTGTTACGAACACCTATACGCAATCCTTCAACTTTTCCAAACACTTGTATTCTATTGTTTCGGTTATTTATCAGTTGGTTACCAACTCGTTGCCTTGTTCGTAATAAATTGACCATTATTATATATTTTTGCCTTTTATCTTCTCCAAAATGGGTTGAATTTGGTGAACTGTTCGTTTGACTCTAAACAACACATAGATGTAAAACTTGACGGTTATGCTTTGTTACATAGCCGGGGTTAAATTAAATTATTAATTATTAATACAATTAAGAACTAGAATGGAAAACGACCTAGCAAATAATATGGCGGGAATAAAAGTAAAAAAGATTAACTGATCGTGATAGAACAAATGAAAGAAGTGGGGAGCAGTTTCCAAATACTATAGGAGTAATTCGAAGCTTCACCTCTCTCCTTATAAACCCCCAACAACTAAACCCCTTCTTCTAAAATAACTACTCCAACTTGTCCATTGATGGTTCAGTTCATATATAGTACTTTTTTTGTTATGTATATTTTACTTGTCTGATCACTGTAGCACGTGGCAGCCCTTCAAATTCATTATTTTTCCTTTATTTTACTTGTCATAAGAACCCAAGAACTTGTCACTAGGCCATCAATTAGTCTGCTTGGAAGAAGTTAGCAGACATGTTTGATATATTCTTTGGGTGGAGAAAAGCTTCTAAATGGTAAATATGAACTACTAATTTTATCTTTTTTTGTCGTTAAAGAAGGTGAAATAGCTTATATTACTTTATTTTTTCTGTGGCAGTAAGAATTTGATCAAAAGGGTTCAGTGCCGGCTTAAGCTGCTGAAGAACAAGAGAAGTTGCATTATCAGGCAGCTGAGGGACGATTTATCTGAGCTACTTAGAAATGGGCATTACGAAATTGTTACTGAGAGAGTACGTAATATGGATTCCTCAAACAAATAATTATGCTTCTTTGGACAGAATTTTTTGCCTCAAAATTTTCCACAATTTCCTAATGTGAATTCCTCTCTTCATATAACTGCTGTGACCTGATTTTCTTGTCTTCAGTAGTTTCTTGAAGTTTTTATGAGCTAGAAAGCTTGTTATATATATTAGTAGATAACTTGTACATTTGATGATTATTCTGTTCATTTTCCTACAATTTTCAGGTTGAACAGCTATTTATGGATGAAAAAATGGTGGCAGTGTATGACTTATTGGAGAATTACTGTGAATTTATAATCCATAACCTTCCGTATATTCGCAGACACAAGTAAGAAACAATAGCATTTCAGTATACGTCAATGCTTTAATGTAATGACTAGTGATTCATGTTTTTCATACTCTGTTTTTCTTTTAGGGACTGTCCCAATGATATAAGTGAAGCAGTGTCGAGTCTAATATTTGCATCAGCAAGACTTGGTGATTTGCCCGAGCTTGTGATGATTCGGAAGCTCTTTGGCGAACGTTATGGCCACGGATTTGAAACATCTGCCCTTCAATTACTCCCTGGGAATCTTGTCAGCCATCAGGTTAGCCAAATCTTGCACGAACGCCTTTTCCAAACTTAAAAGTCTTTGAGTATTAGTATATCTTTCTAATTCTGATCCTTCTTTGAATACAGATAAAGGATAATTTATGCACAAACTGTGTATCAGATGAGGAGAAATATAGATTGGTGGATGAAATTGCAAGGATTTGCTTCCAACAAGGACCTTTGCTTCTTGAATACAGACGCGAATCAGAAGAGCTGGTACTTATTTAAGCAATCTATCACAGTATGTGACCAGAAGGTCACGGGTTCAAGTCGTGGAAACAACCTCTTGCAGAAATAGAGGGTAAGGCTGTGTAGAATAGACCCTTGTGGTCCGGCCCTTCCCAGGACCCCGCGCATAACGAGAGCTTAGTGCACCAGGCTACCCTTTTATCACAATATGCTTCATAAAATAGCTTAAGCAAAAGAAAAAAGATAAAGCATGTTTTTCGTGCTTTATTCTTATTTTGGCACCACACAATTCCTTATGCCAGGAAATTGCAGGTAAATGAAACAAGTAATGCAGCAGCTGATTACAAGGAAAATGGACTAATGAGATTAAAGGATCCCAACATTATAGAGACAGAAGCAAAGATAGTAAATTCCGATTATTCATCTAAGAGCATGAATGTTATCGAAAATCCTTCCATTTCTCGCCAAGAACTGCTTCCTACTGCAACTTCAACATGCCTTTCAACAACTAACAATGATTCAGTGCACTGCTTGAAAAACAATGGTAACAAAAGAGTTCTAGATTCTGCTCAGCCGGGCTATTTATCCCAATCCCCAATATCAAGTCCTGAACACATAATAGAAAGGCATATGGCCAAAACTTGTGGCTTTACTTTAGATAAAAATATAGAGAGAAGAGATGCAGAATCATCTACAGAAGATTCAGCTGAATCACCTCAGCAGATGATATACCTAGATGACATTCAGGAGTTTGAGTCTGTTGTGAGCAAAGACGTGAGATTCCAGGATCAGAGGCTATTCATGTTCAAAGCCCCTATTGTTCCCTTGAGACTAAAGATAGATACTGGAAGCAATTTTGAGGTGCAGATTGCAAAAGAACGACCAAGAAGCTCGAGGAAGAATAACAAGATATCTGGAAAAAGAATGAGAAGGAGATCACTTTCCATTGAGAAGAGCTTTATGTCAGACACTGATAGTACAATGTACTACGGTGACTTACGTGAGAGTTCTCCAGATAGCAAACCAAAAAGCCAAAACAGGCGAAGAAATTCCAGGAAGAGTTCTGTTGAGGAAAGTCAGAAGTCCTATTATACATTTGCACATGACAGCCAAGATCAACCTTGCTATGTCAAATTCAGAAGCACACTGACTTTTGTCAATTCGAGGTGCAATGGGCCGATGGAAAATCACTGCAGTTTGGAGCATCCATGTTATGACTGGATCAGTGATGAAAAACCTAACGGGGAATCTTCTTTTCGCGTGCCAAGGAGAAGAGTCAAAGCTGCAAAGGATTTCAGTAAGCATAGTCTAAAGGAAAGGAAACAAGGATTTTATCAATGCCAATGTTCCTTCAGCCAAGACCAACATATCATTGGCGATCGATTAGTACTTCCACCACTGATAGCAAAAACAAGTCAAGATGTTGAATCAAGGAGGGATCATTTTGTAAAGCCTGATACGGAGGAAGTATGGGAAAGCCGAGAAACTTGTTCTCCGATTATGTCCTCAAAATCAAGAATGACAGATCAAAGGGCAAGAAATGAAAATCAGAATCCTTATTTGAGGGCAATGACTATGCCTCCTGAAAGGCCTAAAGATAGCATCATAGATAACTTTCTTCGGTCAAATTCCTTTCCAATTCAGGAGCCTGGAAATGGATTGTCTGAAAATAGCCATGTCCATCCTAAGCTACCAGACTACGACGAAATAGCAGCTAAGTTCATGGCTCTCAAGAAAGAGAAACTGCAAAACAAATGCTAGCATTACATCAATGGCTTTACCATATCATGGCCATCTTTACTCTAGGCTGGAACAAATTACTTGATTTACTTATTGTTTCTATTCTTTGTTCATAGAGTAGCAGAGCTATACTTGCATTGTAAATGGATATTTCTTTGTGTGTGTGCGTGCGCTCGCACGCGTATGTTTTAGTGAATTTATGGAAGTCCTTGGAGTGAAATGAGTGATGCTTTGATGAAACTAGCTTGTGTTTTGGTGATTAACTAGTAAACTCTGAGTGGTTTTGGACTGCTTTTACTCATTGCTGCATTTTTTATGTAGAAATTCTTTGACAGATAGTACTATCATTCTTTCCATTTCATTTAAAAAGAATTCCCCTAAAAGATTCACTTAGGCCCGTGTTTTTGGAATCAGTAAACAGTTTAATAATATAGACACTAGGTGAACAGTACTCAGTTTTTCGCATTTGAGATTGATTTCCCAGATATATGAATTATTTTTGGTGAACCATCCAGATTTACAAGTGGTAAAATAGCCACAGTTTCAAAAGTAATCGAAATTTAGCCATTTTTCATGTAAAGATAAATCTGAATAAAAACACTGTTCAAAATTCGAAAAATATCCCAGCATAATATATTGGAGTTCGAATTTTTTACATGTGAACTTCCAACATAATATACTGGAGTTCGAACTTTTTTCATGTGAACTTCCGGCATAACATGCTGGAATTTCATAATGTGCTGAGTTCCAACATAATATGCTGGAAGTTCATACATAGATGCTCCAATCTCCAGTATATTATCCTGCAATTTCATAATGTGCTGGAGTTCCAGCATCATATATAGGAAGTTCATACGCATGTGCTCCAATCTTCAGTATATTATGCTGGAATTTTCCGTGTGCTGGAGTTCATACACAGGTGCTCCAATCTCTAGTACATTATGTTGGGACTCTCCGTGTTGCAGCAAAATAGTGACTATTTTGCAATGACTTTGCAAACGCGGATTATTTTTCAATTACCCGTTCGAAATTTAGCTAGTCCGTGCTATTTTAACGAATCATCAACTACTAGCCCATTTTTCACGCAGATCGGACTCGTATAGGCTATAGCTGTGGGTATGAACCAAACTAGAAATGGGCTTTCTTTCATAAATGGCCAACACAGTCATTATCCTGAGGCCATGTTATTTGTGGCCATGGCTCCATAAAACGATTTACAGTAATTACCTTAATATATCCTGTGGATATAAGATCTAGACATTATGTGCAACATATATCTGTTGAAATTGGCTTTTCTACTTATTTTTTCATTATAATTTATTACAACAAAAGTGCCAATGGAATAAATCCTCAATTATACTAAAATTAAGTAGTTCACTTCCTCCAGCACTATAATTATCTTAATTTTGAGCCTTAGTTTTTGGGATGTCTACATATGATTCTCTTAGAAAGAGTTTTTTTATGATTACTATGCATATTTGACAACTGATCAATAATATAACTAATGTAAAAAGACTTAATTTTAACATATGAAAGCAAGTTAAAACATTTCCTCCGTAAGCTAGTTTATAACAAACTCGCTTTTAAGAAAAATATTTATATAAATAGTGTTTAAATTATAAAAAATAAATAAAACATCTCCCAAATTTCATCCTTTGAAGCACAAAATGAGCACACTAAATCAATAACAACCATACCTCAATCCCAAACAAATTAAGATCGGCTATACCAAAATATTAAAAAATGTCTAACAAATCTAAAACATATTCCCACCTAGTAGTAGGTATCACTTATAAGAATTGAATATGTTGCCCTGATACCACTCTAAGAAAGGGACAAATAAGGAAACTCAAATCTAAGAATTTAGTATGGTGCCCTGATACCAAATTTAAGAAAAAGATAAATAAAGAAAAATAGAAATATTATTAAGAAAAAATTCTTGACAAAGGATAAACACGTGTTGGAAGGAAAATCACATAGAAAAACAACCCCAAAAATTTCAGAATAAGATAAAACCGAAGATAATGACGAGCTTTGACATAATGACTTTGCACAATTTAGACATATGAAAAAAGAATAAAGAGACATAAAGTAAAAGAACGGTAAAAAGGATGAGACGTAAAGCTAAAAATCTGGGTAAGATGATAAGGTGTGTTGTGTCAGAAGATAAGGAGCAATAAAGGAGAAACAAATTTTCTTATGGGAATTTTTGAAAGCATTTTAAGCCTATGTTAAAATTCAAAATTTTATATAAATAGCTAGACTAGTTTGTTAGATAAGTGTTTGAAAAAATCTTCAAAGCCTCTCTCAAATAAATACTCTCATCACTATCATACAACAACAACTCTTGTTTATAATCGTGTATCATTTTCGGTAGTGTGAAAGCTTTGCAGAGACTCCGGGTTTTTCTAAAGAGAAATCTTTCTCTGTTGTTAACTGTGTAAGTTTGTATGTTCCAATTAAATTTAGACGTATGTTTTGTTTTAACATTTCTAGTTTCTCCCATTTACATTATTATGTATCTATTTATTTTTATCATTTGCTTCATTATGTATTTGTATTATATGGTTAGCTTTTCAAATTTCTTAGTAACTTCAATGAATTAACCCGTTGATTCCTAGAAAAAATTCACTCGGAGCTTAACCCATAAAATTAAAGGATATTTATTGACTGTGACCAGAGTGAGGTTAAAGAAGTTAAGAAAAATAATTTAATATTTCAAAAAGAATATTTAAAATTATGTCTAAGTTCATTATTTTAATATAATATTAATGGGTCTTAATACAAATGTAACTAATGGAATAATTTTCAATTACAAATTTGAAAATATTAAAACTAATGATTGAAGTCAGTTACAATGATATTAACGTTTTGGCATTTGATAGCTTTCAATGATTTTAATGTTTTGGCATATGTACATTCAAAGGACTTTAACGTTTTGGCATTAAGCCTTAATGGCTTTAATTTTCATCAGATCCATACTACTTTTGGAATATATATAAATATATCTTTTTGTATTCATTTGGTAATGTGTGTGGAAAACTTCTCCTTTTCTTTTGTGCTGGTTTTTCTTTTATACAATCTTTTTTTGTTTTTACTCCTAGTTATACTAGAAGAGCTTGTTGAATATTGGAAGATACGCCTAATAATATTTATCACGGTGTGAACGAGATATCTTTAAGGACAGTGTTCTTGACACGCCTCAAGCTAAATTTTATTCTCCATATATAATTCATTATTTTTTCCAACAAAAGAAACAAGTGCTAAAAGTTAGAATAAAAAGAAGTGAAAGGAATAAACAACGTAAAAAATATGAGAAATAATCTTGAATTCTAGAGCAAGACATAGTTTAATCGGCTACATACTAAAAGAGTTAAGAACATAAAGGACGAAAAACTTGCACGGGCATCTTATTTCATCGCCCCCATTTAACCTATATCTATTTTTGTTAAAAATTTTAACTTGTACCCACTTTTTAAATAATTTCGCCCTCTTTTTTTCTAATCCTTCTTTTTCTTCTTCTTCATTAGATCCTGCCTTTTCTATACTTTTTTCCGACATGTTCTCAATAGCTGATGTCATTCTTCTATCTGATTCTTTTTCAATTCACCGCACCATTCATCAACCTTTAACTTTAAATTCACTTGCAGAAAAGAGAATACTGATATCTAAAGTAGAAAACAATTCCAGTAAACAGCAGTCACCCTTACAAGAAACAGAAGTAAAATTCTTTTTTTTTTTTCCATCTTAAGTTTTGATCTTTCTTTCAATTAAATAGAGGTAATCAACCTAAGCAAGCTAATTATGACTTATAATTGATAAACAGAATTTGTCCAAGTTACTTCAACTGGTGCAATGACTTATTCTTTCATACTAAGTCATTTACAAAACAAAAACTTCAGCGAGTTACAAAACAAAAACTTCGCCAGTTACAAAAACAAAAACTTCAGCACACGTGGTTCAGCACACTTGCTACTTCAGACCCGTCTGCTAGAATGCTGAAGTTTTGTATGATTGCCTTTGCTATTTCAACCTCGTATGCTGAAGTTATGCGAAAAAGCGGGTACGCTTGTAATTTTTTTTTGCAAAACGGACACAAGTTAAAACGTGACACAAAAAGCGGATATAGATACAAATGCCCCGTAAAGGACTTGGGGAGTACCGAATAATTTACAACATACATCAAAAACTCAATCAAAATTATTATAGATTTATGCCCATTAATATTTCTAATTATAACCTAGAAATATTTGCTAGAAGAATATAAATTAAATATAAATACTAGATTATACTCTATATTAGATCTAACAGTACATTTTATTTACCTTAAACAAAATCGAAATAATTGTTTTGATTTTCGTGAAAGCAGCTCTATTTACTACGTAGGTTAATATCATATGCTTTGAATAAATTTAATTTAAGAATTTAATATATATCGATCCAGAGCTAAGTATAAACTATTTTGTTTAGAAGGATGTATCAAAACTCAAAAGTGTAGAAGAAGTTTGGACAATAACAACCGAAAGAGAAATAGACATAGACAAATCTTAGAATATCAGTACTAGAAAATAGATTAAATGACTTAGAGAAAAAATAATTTAAACTGAAGATAATTTCTTTCTAACAAGTATAAAACTTATTTTTAATTACTAATATATAAATCTTTTCCATCATGCCTTATCTTTAGCTAAAGAATTATAAAATGAGTACTGTACCAACAAAATTTAGGATTGTCACTATCCAGTCTTATATGACACGGATTGACTTTCTGTAGTCAAACTTATTTGATTCTTTTAAATATAAGAAAAAAAAATATCTTGTAGACCTAATTATTAACCATTAATAAAACGTTGACTTTCTTCTTCATTATGTAAGCTGAAGAGACTTGGTTGACATGCAACCTTAATTAACATCATAGTGCTTAATGAAATGGCGTCCAAATGGCCACTAATAGTCATTTTTTAGTAATTAAATTTCATGATAAACATCCATCTCGTCGACAAAACACTCAAGTTCACTAGCTAATTTTATTTGCAGCCGACCAATTGGGATTTTTTATTTGTTTAATTACATATAATTAAGTTTTAGTCCTCAGTTATTGTTCCCAGTTTTCGACGGAACTTATGTTCTAACCTACGAGGCTACGACTACAAAACGCCCAAAACATCTCATTGGCTTTTTCTTTGTCAACTACTGCTTTAATGTTAAATTAGTTGAGGA